CAAACAAACATATATCAAAAATAATTGTAAAAATAATAAATAGATAGATATTATTAATGGTATTACTATATTAAATATTTTTGTTATAAATTTTTTTAAAAAATAACATTTATAATAAACTTAATAAATAATTTTGAATTGATTTTTAACTATATAATTAATTTTATTTTACTACATAATATGATACTAAATAATATAAAAATTTTAACATAAAAAATATCAATTAGAAAAAAATCAACTAGTTAATTTTATTTAATTAAAAAATTTGTTTACGTACATAAATTACTATTATTTAATTAAAAGTAGCATTACTAGAAATTAATTATATACTTATAAAATTAATACAGTACAATAAAATATATATATAAATAATTATTATTATTTATTTATTATATTGTATTATATGATATGATATAATTAATTATAATACTGTATTATAAGCATATATTAACTATTAAAACATTTTACTTTCAAACAATTTGCTTACTATTAAAAGAAAATAATTTTCTAAAACTAATAAAACAAATAAATAATATATTTCTAAAAAACAATAATTTTTAATAATATTATATTTTAAAAATAATGTTAATCTATATAATAGTTTAGTAGTTAAATAAAATCAATAAAAAAATTGTTTTTATATTATTAGTAATATCTGTTATATTTAGTTTTTGGTTCAATTTTATAAAACTAAAAAATTAATTACTTAAATATATAAAACTAATATGATTTGTTTTAATAACTACAATAAATTTTAAAAAATGAAACTTAATAGCATTTATTATGCTAATTAATTAACAAAATTAAAACTTATAATTATTTTCTAATCAATTTAATTATGATATCTATTAAAATTATTAGTTATTAAATATAAATTATATTTTAATAGCCTATGTTTGTTATAATCTTTATTATTCAATATATATATATATATATTATAAATATCATTATCTATATTTAATATATATTTATAATAAACTTACTAATCAATTTAATTTAACTTAAAAATAAGTATTTAATATTTTTTTTTTTTAAATATACTACCTAAATTATATTAAATTAACTTATTCAGATAATATATAATATAATACTATTTAATAATAATAAAATAATTTTTATACATTGATTGCACGAATTTTTTACAAAAAAAAAATAAATGAGTTAACTAAATAATTAATTTATTTATCAATTTTAAAACAATATAATAATATCAGTGATAGATAACAATAATTGTTTAATATATAGTTTCATATACAATATATTCAGTATTTAATATATATATATACAGCCGGCACAAAAACAAACTATGAAAGCATTTTATTATAACTAAAAAAAACAATGTATCAAAAAGTTATAATAATTTTATATTAATAAAAAAATTGGTACTTTTCTAGTTTAAAAAAATAATACTTAAAATTAAAATAATTACTTGTAATTAGTGAAACATTTTTTTTTATAAATATTGCATAAATAGTTTTTTAATATTTAAGTTTTTTTTAAAAATATGCATTGCTAGTTTATGTGCCGACTGTATATGTATTTTTTTTAATTAGTAACAAAAATTAATTTTATTTCAAAATTTCATAATTAGTAACAATTTTTTTCAAAATATAATTCATTAACTATAATAATAATTGCTAAATAAAATAATTATTTAATTAATTAATTTTAAATATATATTAATAATTTAATTATTCTAAAATAATTTACTAATATTAAGTAATTGTAAGATTATAATAATATATTATTTTTATTAATTGTATACATTGTTATTTTTATCAATAATATCCTATTAGACAATAATTACTAATATTTAAGTACTAGTACTTAATTTTTTGAAATTTTTTTTTTGAAATATTATAAGTTTAATGTACATGTACAATAATTTATTAAGTACTATATATATAAAAAATAGATTAGCTAATTTTTTAAAATTTATAATATACTACTACTACACACACATGATGATTATTAATTTAATTAATTCAATAATAATAATAAATTTAAATTAAATATATAGACTTAGCAAATAATATTTATTTATTAAATTTTAAATATAATTATTCATAAGTTAATAATTTGAAAATAAATAAATAATAATATGATTTCTATTATAAACAGTTACAGTAAAAAAATTATTTTTATTAAAATATAGGCTAACTTTATCACGTGTTTAAAGCATTTTATTTTTAACAGTAGATAATATTAGTATCTAACTATTATTATCATTAATTTTTTTTAATATCTAAAATTATAATTAACTATCTATAGGTATTTTAACTATAATATATATATATATATATATATATATATATATATATATATATATATATATATATATAAAATCACGTAGCTCATTTTTTAGTATATTAAAAAAAATCACGTAGACCATTTTATCTAGAATAATGAAAATCACGTAGCTCATTTTAACTATACTAAAATCTCACGTAGCTCATTTTTATTAAATGTTGTATAATAATTTTAATCACTTATTGATTATACTGTATATATCGATATCTATAATATATAATGTAATTATTTAACAAATTATTAACACACTTAACCCATATATATATATATATATATATATTTATATACACATACTGTAAAAATTTAGTATATAAATAGCCCATTAAAAAAAATTAATAATTATTAAATTACAGTATTTATAGTTATTAAAAAAATTGTAAAAAATTAATAAATAATTAATAACAATGTATATTAAACTAATAACTAGTTTAATTGTTTTAATCTTTACAGTAAATATAGGTTAGTATTATAATTATTATTATATTTAATAAAAAATAAGCTATAATTAAATAATTAAAAATAAAATTTGTAAAAAATTAATTTTTATTTATATGTTTCTATTATTATATAATCATTAATATAGACTATTAACTTATAATTTATTTTAATATTTAATAAATAACAAATATTTAATAAATAACAAATATTTAGTTAAAAATTAAATTAACTATTTATATATAATATTATAACAAAAATAATAAAACTAATTATATTTTAATTTTATAAAAAAATACAAAAAAAATTACAGTCTATGGCGATGTTTTTGTTAACCTCAAAAAATTGCACACAAAAGCGGAACGGGATCTAAAACCGTTGACATTCGACCAGTTAGTCAACCGATCGGACCTGAATGTCGGCAATTTAGGCCAACAAATGTCGGCCGCCAGTAGTCTGTATCGATCGGCTGGACTGCCATTGGTTGGACAGGCCTACGAAAATGTTACTCAATTTATTGTACCGCATACACGTGCAATGTATCAAACATTGAGACAGCTGACCAATACTACCGAACCCCAGAAACTAATGTATATGTATATGTTTGCTATAAACTATGAAGTATTAGGTCAGATAACTCAAGTGGAAGGTAGGGAACGGGTCAGTGATGGATACAAAGCTACAGATACTGAACCTAATCTATGGGAACAGTATCTGGAGGTTAGGCAACGATTGGATAGACTGGTATTGAAAGCGGCCGATGCCCAGGATAAGCGTGGACTACCGTTTTTTGCTGAATTTCATCGTGGGGTAAATAAATTTGTTTTTATTTATTTTTTAGCTAGCTTAATTAACTAATTAATTAACTAACTAATTTACTAACTAATTTACTAACTAATTAACTAATTAATTAACTAAATAACTAACTAATTGACTAACTAGTTAACTAACTAATTAATTAACTAGCTTAATTAACTAATTAACTAACTAATTAACTAACTAATTAACTAACTAATTAACTAACTAATTAACTAACTAATTAACTAACTAATTAACTAACTAATTAACTAACTAATTAACTAACTAATTAACTAACTAATTAATTAACTAGATTTTTTAGTTAATTTTATTAACTCATAACTTAACTAATTTATAATATACAGTTATACAGTGTATTAAGCTATAGTTATTTAATTAAAATTTTATAATTGTTTATAATTTAGTTTATTTATTTATTATCTATTGTTTCTTTTAATAATTAATATTTTTTTGATAAAATTATAATTATAAATAAAATTGATTTTATTTAATAATAAATTGAGCATGCATATAATACTGTACTATATGTGTTATTATAAAGATTATTATATTTATATATATTAATTTTTTGCTAAACATTTTTAATTTAGATTTTTAATTTAGTCTGTTATTATTATTATTATTATTATTTATAAAACTTATATTTTATAAATTAATTGAATTTAATTAATTAATTTTTTCATATATTTTTWATATAGATTGCTAAATTTCTCCGGGATAATTTATTGAAAGTCGATACAGTAGTCAAACAGTTACCGTCGGGTGAATTGCGGTCAAAATATTATCAAATATTGGTCAACGATTTGGGATTTTTGTTTGATTTTAATGCACTAATTTCTTATCAAGTTTAGATTAATTAAAAATTTAAAACAAAAATATATAAAATAATAATTAATTAATTAATTAATTAATATTATTATTATATATTAAGTACAAACACTTTAGAGTATTATTATAATTATTATCTATTACTAATTTTTTTAAATATTATTTTTTAATAACAACAATAATTAAATAAAAGTATTTTTGCATTAATAATAATTTTTTTTAATTATTTTACTAATTATAATCCTAATGGAAAAAAACATCTATAATAAACTTAATAATTTGAATTTGATTAATTTAAATTTGAGTTTAATTATGGAGTAACTAAATATAAACCCCACACCATCCCCCAAAAAAAAWAATAAAATAAAATAGCTAAATTTTTATTATTATTATTTTTTATCTATTAACTTATTATTTATATGATACTACTACTACTACATATGATATTAAATAATATAAATATACAACCAAAAAAAATATATTATATTAATACAAAAAAAAAAGTTAAATTAGAGACAATTTTTTTTAAAAAATAAATTTTGCAATTAATTAAAACAAAAATAAAAATTTATTTATTATATATATTATATTACTTCAATATACTGTAGTTGTTATTAAATCAAACAATAATTATATCCAATAATCATACTAATAATTAACACATTTATTAGCGGCCAATGATAATGATAATTGATTGATGCAAACAACAAACTAGTTGAACCAGATTTTTCTAGTGAATCATTATGATGTCTATGATGATGATGATGTCCATGTCCATGTCTATGTCCATCACTACTAAGCTTATGTAGTCTAACTAGACTACTATCTGATTCCTTGAAAAATTGTTTACGACAGTCTAGTTTGTCGGTCGGCGGTGATCTATGATACTGTTCCCCAGCCGTAACCATAAACAGTTCATTATCTGTATGATAATCGCGGCAATTGTCGGCCATTTGCATCATAAACATGTGTAGGACTTCGTCGATGGGCAGGAATGCCATTGTCGGGCATCGGCTCCGGTATTCACTGTGCAAACAGTCGACAATGTCGTAGATTATACAACATTTGTACGGATCAAACAACAAGTTGCTGGCAGTACTATCAGCACCTGGAGGTCCAAAATCATAGTAATAGCTATAGTTTTGCTGGTTATCACGATTTTCGTAGTAAAATTCGGGTATACGTTGTCCGTGACGGTCGGCTCCCGGCCATCGTTGGCGTACTGTTTGTATACAATGGCCGGCAAACGTCGGCTGCTTTGATGTACACTGTTTTACTTTGGCTACCAGTGTATGGCCAGTCAGTGCAATCTATACATACCGTTATGTTATAATAGTTTTGTTAGTTATAATAGTTAGTTAGCTATAATAGTTAGTTAGCTATAATAGTTAGTTAGCTATAATAGTTAGTTAGTTATAATAGTTAGTTAGYTATAATAGTTAGTTAGCTATAATAGTTAGTTAGTTAGTTAGTTATAATAATAATAATAATAATTATTATTATTATTATTATTATTATAATGGACTTACACTTTGATTAGAGTATGTCATGTTTAATATGTATTCATTGTTTGTAAAATCAGTTTTCAATATAATTTTTGTTAATTGTTTTTCATTATCATTATCAGTATTGCCCAACAATTTTGTATCCAATTTTGTGATAATAATTGTTGAAAATATTATTAATAATTTAAATCCAGTTGTGATAAACATTTTTATTATTAATATAATAGTAATAACTTATAATTTTGTTTTTTTAAATAATTAATTATTATTATAAAGTTAGCTATTTTTTGTTTATTTAGGTATTAATAATATATTTATTTGATTTTTTTTAATTAAAATAAAAATGTGATATTTTAGATAATATTTTTTTAAAAACTAACTAAAACGTGTTTTTTTATATAAAACACAAATTATTTATTATAGCAAATATGGTTATAAAATGTTGACAACAGATAAACAAAAATATTACTTAATTAATTAATAAATGTATAAATATTTTAATATGAAAATAACATATATAATAATAATAATAATAAATATTTTTAAATAAATTAATATAATTAATATAAAAAAATATTATTGTTTTATAAATATTGATTATGTAAAACAATTTATTTAAATAGCATAAAATTACAATAATAAAAAATTTTAATTTTTAATAAAATTTTATTTTAATAATGACAACAATTAATTGTGTCAAAAAAATTAATAACTAAAACAATTCTACATTTTAATAGTAATTTATTAGTAAATATTTTTAAATAAATTATTTAAAAAAAATATTTAACTATATTAACAACAAACAAACAAAATATAATTAATTAATAATATTTTATATAAAATGATTACCAAAAAATGCAATAATTTGTTTAATTATAATAAAAATAATTAATACTATAATAATTATTATTATAAAAATTTTATTTAAATATAATTACTATAATTTTGGTAATTATGATTTTAATGATATATTATTTTTTAACAATCATTATAATAATAAATCAGAAATTTTATTATTTTTTTTTAAAAAGTTTAAATCCAATGTTTAAATTGGCAAAATCATTATTTTTACAAATATATATATATTATAATATTATTTGTATTGTTTTATTTTAAATTATATTTTAAATAAATCTATTAGTTTTTAATAATTAAGTTTATTTAGTATGTTTTAGATTAAACTAAACATATTTTTTTATTCATACAATACAGTTAACAATAAAATATTATTTTTTTAAACATATTTAATACATAAAGTTTTTTTTTAAAAAAATATGTATACTAAATTAATATCATATTTTTTAGTATCAAACAATTATAATTGTCTATGTGGCATTATTATTTTATTATCATTAACAACTAATATTATAGTTGGACAAAACAATCAACTAGGTAAATTTAATTTAGGTAACTATTAGATTGGTTGAAATGAAATTAGCCTAGATAGGTTAAGACAATTTTAATCAAATTTTTTTCAAATATTATTTAAATATAGTATCCGTTAGGCCGTATAACAAGTTTCATACGGTCGATCCACTTCTCATAGACCCCACGCCAGTCGGTTGGTTTTAGGTCTCCCAAAATGACTCAAAAGCGTTGTCAATATCAATTTTGCTATTAAATACCGTTCCTCTTAGGTGTTTCTTGAGATTTTTAAAAAGCCAAAAATTAGCTGGAGACAGATCAGGACTGTAAGGTGGGCGTGTTAAAAGTTGAACACCATTGTCATCGAGATATCGGGTTGTTACCAATGTTTTGTGAGACTTGGCATTATCGTGATACATTATAATGCCAGTTAGTCCAGACTTCGGGCGATCCTCATTGATAGATTCAAAGACTTTAGACAACCATTTTTTCACATACCAGTCGGTGGTAACCTTATATCCATTTCCCAATTTGAAAATTTTCACAATACTAGTCGAACGAAAAAATATGGCGTAGATTATCTTCTTTACATGCACTTCACGTTTGGCCAACTTCGGGATCTCTTCATCTTCTATGACCCATAACTTTGCTTTTTTACTGTTTAATTTGTGATAAAAGTACACATATGTTGCGTCACCAGTCACTAATCGATAAATAAAGTGATTGCCGCCATTTTCAAAAATCTTCAGATTCTCCCGGCAGATCTTAACACGAGTAGCCATTTGGTCGGCCGACAACAAGTGGTGTACCCATTTGATACAAATATGTCTTGCGTTGCTATAATTGTGCAGAATATGATGTACTCTCTCGTTTAAGATATTCAGTATATAAGCCATCTGTAATAGCGTTATTCGCGGATATTCTTGTAGCAGTTCCCTAATTCTGGCCACATTTTCATCGGTGGTCACTTCCCGTGATTGACCCATCTTCGGGATGTCCTCAATGATGTACGACCAAATTTGAACTAACGTTATCAATGCGATACTGTAGCTTAAATACCAGTATTTGTTCCCAATGTGCAATTAATTTCATCTGTTGGCTCCTGTGCCGACAGCGCGAGCCGATAATAATATGCAATTATTTCCCGAATATCGCGAGAACCAAAATTAATTGAAATTTCAGACATTACACACTTTAAGAAGTCACCAAAACTGAACCAAATGAGCAAATGTTGTGAAAAAAATTTTAGTGGCCTAAAAAATTGTGTACTTTTATTTGATAATAAAAGTTTTGTCATTTTTTATAGTTTGGATAGTGATGTGAATTACTTTCCTACTATTCCAATATATAATAATATATTGTACAATAAATATTATATATTTAATATAATTTATATTTTAAAATAATGTTTTTTATTTATAAAACTTAAATAATAATATTTAATACAATAAACAGTAAACATGTTTGATCAAACATTTATCCTAAAAAATTTAATAAAAACTATCATGGTCAATCAATTTGATATTGATAAAAAATGTTTGCATGCTGCTAACAATTGGCCAATTGATAATATCTATGATGAAGTAAAATTACCAGGTATATTATTAATTATTATTAGTATTATAAACATATATTTAATATATAATTAATTTTTATTGTATGGCCTGATAAATGTATAAATGATAAAAAATAATAATAATAATTTTTATAAAACATAAAATCATAGCAACAATGGACGGCTGGATAATATGGTTGAAAAGTATATTAAAAGGGAACGTTAGATATTTAGGCAATTTTGATAAATGTTTGGCCATTAATGCCAATAATAGTAATAATAATAATAACGATAATATTGATACTAATAAACAAACGGTTGTCCAACAAATTACTGGACAATATTGTCTAATCTATGCACCAATCGATCAATTTGTTGATTTGAAAAAATTAATTCACTTTGATTTGAATGTAATTATTATTAATATTTATATTTATATTTTTATAACAAAAAAAAAACTAAAAATAAATTTATTTAAACAATAATATATATATATTTAGCCACTTATACCAGCAATATCACCGCAACTAGCATTATGTCTACCAAATTCATGTAATGTTTCCAATATTTTACATAAACTATTTGATAAAGGTATTTATTTATTTTTTATTTATTTTTATTTTATAAATATTATTTTATAATATATATATATATAAAATAGATAATTAAATTTTTACAATCAATTATTTCAATCCAATTAGTTTACAAAACAATTGGATTCAAACTATCAGTTAGTCATTGTTTAGGTAATAATAATAATAATAATAAAAATAATAATAATAATAGATATTATGCATCAATAAACTGGTATCACATTGTTTTATAGTATGTATTAATAAATCAATTTAAACAATTATTATTTTTTTATAATAATAATAATAATTATAATATTTTTTAAAAAAAACGCACTAAATTATCAAGTACAATAATTGTAATCATATTAATGTTGATAATATTGGGTACATTATGCGATAATTATATACCAATACAACCAACAAAATGTATGTATATTTAAAATATTAAAAATATATATTTTTTATTTTGTTTATTTAATAGATAAATATTTACTTATATATATATATTCCTATTTTCTATAGATAAAAAAACTACTAACAATAATATATCAAAAATTTTGTTGAACGTGTTGCGCGCGTTTTCATTAATCAGAAACACGCGTCAATTGTTTATGGTATCGACTAATAATAATAATACTGATATTGTTAAATGTTTGAACGGTCTACGTGTTATAGCATTTTTATTTATACTAATATTTCATCTAAACATGAATAGTACAATAGTATCAGGTATATACACACATACACATACACATACACATACACATACACATACACATACACATACACATACACATACACATACACATACACATACACATACACATACACATACACATACACATACACATACACATACACATACACATACACATACACATACACATACACATACACATACACATACACATACACATACACATACACATACACATACACATACACATACACATACACATACACATACACATACACATACACATACACATACACATACACATACACATACACATACACATACACATACACATACACATACACATACACATACACATACACATACACATACACATACACATACACATACACATACACATACACATACACATACACATACACATACACATACACATACACATACACATACACATACACATACACATACACATACACATACACATACACATACACATACACATACACATACACATACACATACACATACACATACACATACACATACACATACACATACACATACACATACACATACACATACACATACACATACACATACACATACACATACACATACACATACACATACACATACACATACACATACACATACACATACACATACACATACACATACACATACACATACACATACACATACACATACACATACACATACACATACACATACACATACACATACACATACACATACACATACACATACACATACACATACACATACACATACACATACACATACACATACACATACACATACACATACACATACACATACACATACACATACACATACACATACACATACACATACACATACATTATTAAAATAAAAATCTTTTTATTTATTTTTTTAAAATATTATAATTAGTTAATCCTCAAGAATATCAATCAATAGTTAAACAATTTTGGACACAAATCTTAGTTAATGGCGACCTATGGGTCGACCTATTTCTGGTTATATCTGGTTTAACCAATTCATTGAGTTTTATTAAGGACTGGCACTTATATACTACTACTACTTCAACAACGATAACAACTAAACTGTTTATACGTTACTATTTATGGCGTCTATGGCACCGATATCTTAGACTAACGCCGTCGATGATGGCCGGGATAGTGTTGGTTGTTGGGGTCGAGCCGTTTAAATCGGGTCCCTATTGGCCAATATATAGACAGATAAGCCAACAAACTGTTCAACATAGTTGGTGGACTCAACTATTGTATTTGAATAATTTTATGTCAATGAACAAGGTAAATTTATAATAATAATAATAATTATAATAATAATTAATAGTATTATACAATAGTTTTATTTTTCATTAAAAAAAATTAATAAATAGAAAAATCATTTATATGTAAAAAATTAATTTTTATAAATTATTATTTATTTTCTCTCATAATTTAACTAAATATATGATATATTATTTTATATTTACAGTCATTATTAACAGGATATCTATGGTATCTGGCATTAGATATGCAATTGTTTTTGATTTCTCCAATATTTCTAATATATTTATCATCAAAAAATCAACAGTAATTTTTATGTTTATTAATTAATTATTTTCCATATAATATATTATTATATTAATATTAATTATTATTATTATTGATTACTAGCAAACAATTTCTAGGTGTACTAATAAATGTACTGGCTATATTAATCAATTGGTTAGCCTATATAATAGTATTAACAGATACTACTGTTCCCTATTCAATGGCCGTATTAAGCAATAATATCGCAACTATTAAATTGTAATTAAAAAAAATTATTATTATTATTATTATTATTTTTCAATATATATATATATATAAGTATACAATATATTATTAAAAACAATAATAATTTATTTATCATATTTATTTTGTAGAAAACAAATTGGCTTTGATTTATATCATTTAGCATATTATCGTTTATCATCGTATTTAATTGGTATACTATTGGCCTATTATTATTATTATTATTATTATTATAGAAATAAAAATAATTACCATGGTACTACTAATAATAAAAGATTATTATTCAATTATAAATTGGTAAGTTTTATTTATTTATTTAATTAATTAATTATTTTTTAAATAAATTAATAAATAATGGTTAGTATTTAGTATTAATAATTATTTTTTTTAATAAAATATTTTTTGTTATCATAATTTAACTAATATTTTTGTTTGTTTATAAGCATTTAGGTTATTATTTGCAATTATATATATATAAAATATTATTAAGCAATTATTTTTAAAAAATAAAATAATATTTAGTATATATTATCAATTATTATTATTTTAATAAAATATTGTTTGTTATCTTAATTTAACATTTTTTTTGTTTATAATTAATTAGTTTATTATTTGCAACTATTTTTTATCTAAAAAAATATTATTATTAAACAATTATAGCTTTATTGGGACAACATTTTATGGATACTATGTTTTCTATGGCTAATAGTACTAACATTTTTGCCATATCTATGGTCAGCCAATAGTGATAGTGATAATAATATAACTGATAGTTATTATTGGCTGAAATTGTTTTACGGTTCAACCCGCCGGCTATTATGGTCGCTGAGCTGGTCATACATTATCTATATATGTTCAACCAGTGGCCGGTCAGGTCTAGTCAATCGACTACTGTCCAGTCGACCGATGCTCGGGTTAGGTTGTCTATCATTTCAGGCTTATATATATCATAATCCAGTTATGCATATCGATATGTTTAGTTTGAATACGTTGAGAGTGTTTTCCCAATTAAATAATGTTAGTATTTATATATATATAATTATTTATTAATACAATATTATTATTATTATTATTATTAAATTGATCAAGAAATATTAATTATTTTACCTGGATTATACATGATTCAAATAATTTTTTAAAAATATTTATTAATAATGATTATTTTTTAAATACTTATTATTTATAATATTATTTTTTTTAAATATTTATTATTTATAATATTATTTTTTAAATATATTTATTAATATTATTTTTTAAATATATTTATTAATATTATTATTTTAATATTTATTATTTATTAATATTATTATTTTAATATTTATTATTTATTAATATTATTTTTTTAAATATTTTT